CAAATTCCCAATACATTTTACTTTTCTGAGATATTTCTTGAACTTTTCACTTTCACATGTTAGTATTTTTATTTTTTTTTCCTGTTATCAAATCTTGCTACTTTTGTCTCTCTTCTTGTTTCTCTTCTACCAACACAACACCCCCTTTTAACTGAAACTCACATTCTTCTTACCCTTCATTTTAGGCGGATAAACCGGTGTTTCACAGATCCAAGTGTACTAAATCTTGGTAATTTTATGCTCTTTTGAGTATTTTTTTCTCTTCTACTGACACCCTTTTCTTCTGTTTACATTCTTTGAGTTTTGCATTAAACTACAAAGTCATGTTCATCTGACTTTAGCCTCTGTTCATCAGCTTTGAGTAATACAATTATTGCGGTTTCTTGCTTTTGGAGTTGTAGAGATACCTCTATTTCTTGCATTATATGAGTATCTTCATATTTAATGGTGAAAATTTTCAAAAATTTTGAGACAGAAATTTCAAGAATGTCATTGCTTTTCTTGAGTTTTTAAAATGACTGTTTCTTGATTTAAGCATTTTTGTCAACAGGGTGTTGGTTGATTTCAGCATTTAACTCAACTGGAAAATGGTAATTTCTGGAGCCAATTGAATCTCATTTCTTTAGTATTTTGCTGTGGCAATATGGATAGATAAAGGTTGGTCCTTTATTTTCATTTTCCCTTTTCTTAGCATTTTATTTTTAGTTAATAAATATGTTTGTATAGATTGTGTCTTTCTGCTGTTTGACATTTGCCAATTTGATCTCTTTTGAGAAATCTTGTTTTCCTCTTAAATAGTTGTCTCTCCTTTTGAGTTTTAGATTTCCTTTCTCTTTATTATTGGCATTGTTAACAATCATGGCTGTGTAAAGATTGTGTACTTCTGCTGTTTGTCATCACCACATTGATGTCTTTTGGAAAATCTTGTCTTTCTCTTAGATAGTCTTTTCTCCCTTTCAGTTTTAGATTTCCTTTCTGTATTTGCATAATATTGGTATGAGATGATTTGAATAGAATAACATGGTCAGTGAGGATTTATATTGCCGACACCAATTTGTTTGTAATTGAGGCGTAGTAGTAGTTGTTGTTTGCCTCGATTGAGTTGATTTATGTTTGTGATTTCACTTATTCACTAGTCCATGCTGATTTTTTCACTTCTTTTGCATCTTGTTTATTATGTGTGGAAAATTTGTGATGGCAAAAGGGACTCCAAGTTATAGCTGTTGATTGCCCATATTTCGTAGTTTTGCACCTCTTATGACGGTTCGAAATAAATAGGTGAAATGTGATTACACATTCTTTTGTCCTAAATATATCTCATTACTTTGGCAGAAAAACAGAGTTAAGATGGAGAGTCAGGAGTTTCGACGGTGGGATGAATTAATTCCTGATGCACTTGGGCTAATATTTAGAAACCTTTCACTTCAAGAGGTATTAACTATAGTTCCAAGGGTTTGCAAGTCATGGAGAAAAGCGGCAAGAGGTCCTTATTGTTGGCAAGAGATCGACATTGAGGAATGGAGCAAAAATCGCTGCCCTGATAACCTTGATCGGATGCTTCAATTGCTTATTACGAGAAGCTGTGGTTCTCTGCGTAAGCTCTGTGTTTCTGGTCTTTCCAGTGAACCAAGCTTCTCATTCATTGCAAACAAGTTAGTACTTTGTTTTTCACCTGTTGACGCTATTTACATCTCTCAGCTACTGCAATTGTCTGCACATTACAAATTTTAAGATACTTTACTCAAGTCAAAATGAGTTACTTGGATTGAATATGAATGTTTTCTGTTTTGCTTTGCTAGTGCCAAATCTTTGCAGATGCTGCGGTTGCCAAAAAGTGATATAGGTGATTCTGCTGTGGAACAGGTTGCCGGAATGTTCTCGAACATTACATTTTTGGATGTAAGCTACTGCATAAAAATAGGAGCCAGAGCGCTTGAAGCCATTGGGAAGCACTGTAGATGTCTAACTGGTTTGCGTCGAACAATGCATCCCCTTGAGGTTATTGACAAGCTTTCGCAAGACGATGAAGCCCTTGCAATAGCCGGTACAATGCCTATGCTAAAGCAGCTCGAGATTGCTTACATGCTGGTTGGTACAACAAGCATAACTGAGGTCCTTAAAAATTGCACACGTCTAGAGCTGCTGGATGTAAGAGGTTGTTGGAATGTGAACCTTGACGAAAATTTCGTAAAGAAATTCCATCAGCTAAAGGTGGTCGGTCCGCTTGTCGTCGATTGCTACGATCGGAACGGATGGGACAATTGCTCTGATTATTCAAGTTCTTCTGGCTATGTACCATGGGATTTTGTGGCTGGTGACATGGACGATGACGACTTTGATGACATGTCCGATGTGTATTGGGAGGAAGATGACCAAAGTATTGAGGACGTCGAAATGTGGTTTTATGATGACTTAAATGCTGTGGACTCTGGATACGATTGGCCGCAATCTCCTTGAGGTTTGCCTGATCAAATTCTACTTATTCAATTTCGAGAAGTTCGACATTACTTCTCTCTTCTCTGCTAAATACCTCTACATAAGAAAGTTTGCTTGCTTTCTACAATGTATATGTGAATTCTGTGTCTGTGTACCTTCTCCTCTTTTCCTGTTTTATTACTTTCCCGGCTATATGTAATTTCCTATTCATATAACAAAGATTTCTATGCTATCAGCTTAATCAATTCAGTCTCTGCAGTTCTTTTTTGGGTTGCCAAGATAGATTTTTGATAATTTACTTGTTCGTCCCTTGCCAAATCGCCATAACCTCAAGCCATATTATGATTTTTATATCTAGTGTCCAGTTGTCGCCTATTTATAGCGACGTGTTTATCAATTATGGCCATAACTATAGGAAAAGAGATACAGGGGATATGGTTTCTATTCTATTTTGTGTAAGTATCACCTATACTATTGCTACTCCAAATACTTATTGTCGAAAAAGGCAGAGTTAAGGTAATGAAGAGAGAGATTGCAATAGGAGTTGATTTTCGTCTAGTTTCACTTACTATGAGGAAAAAGGTTGAGAAGCCAAGAAGAACAGTTAGAAGAGTGAAGAGCTAGAATCTAACAAGGTCTATGTGATTTTCTTGGATCCTCAGAGACACCTAAGGAAAGGTGTGCGAAAGCATTGTCGACCCTGCTTGTCCAGAAGAGAACTGTAGTCCTTGATAACATGTGAGTGATGCAAAGTTATCCGCTATCTGTGCTGGTGAGTGGATTAGTCGAGTTGCATGCAAGCTGGTCCGAACACCTCCGTTATTAAAAAGAACGTGAGTAATGCTCATTGTACTTTGTATCATGTCAATGACTGTTATAAACCTATATTAGTATCTAGAGGCATGAGTTAATTTTCTGCTGTTGTTTCCAGTTCCTATCACAGTGCTTCTAGTTCAACAAAGGTTTTAAAGATGATTGGAGTAGCTTGCAATGTCTATATGATCATTTCCCTTACATTCTGAATTCCTTTATGATGAGCCATTTGTATTCTTGAGGAGGGGATCAATATGTTTTTTCTATTATGGAATGTACTTTGTAATTGTTCATCCGACTAGTATGTTGTGGTCAATAGGTCTATTACTTTTGTTTTAGGTGATATGATTTGTTGTTTTGAAGTCACAAGTAGCCATAAGCAAAAGAGAAATAGTGTGTTCCAGCTTAGGTAACGGTTTCAGATTTTATTGTTGATACAACGGTTATGGTGTATCCAACATATAGTAAATATTCTTTTGGTTAAGATTATGTGTCCATTTGATGTGAGGATTGTTTTGCTTTAGTACTGTCTCTAACAGCTTGTTTGGATGGTTATTATGTATCAGTATCGTATTGTATTGTATCGTATCGTTCGTTTTGATGTATACTATTATTATGTTTGGATAGATTGTATTGTTTTCTGTCATTTCATTATGTCATGCACCAACAATATGAAAAATAAACTTGCAATATTATAAAGAAAAAGTAAGATACAAGGTAGAATTGTTATATAAAAAAGTAGGATAAAAGATAAAATATGATTATTTAATAATATGGAAGGGAAAGATGAGAGGAAAAAATAAGGTAACGACGCGAGCATACCAAATATGTCCTTCCATAAAGTGGGACTTTTTGTCATTACGTAACAACGGATTTAAGTATTTAACGATAAGATACAATAAAATTTAAATAACAATCAAAACAAATATTGTATTTAAAGTAACAATACGATACAATGCAACAGATAACAACCATCCAAACAAGCTGTAAAGATATGATTTTTCTAATTATTTCCATATTGCGGAAAATTTGTTGGGAAGAGGAACCAATTAAGTACTTTTTCAGGTGTAACTCTTTTTCATACCCCTTTAGGTTCTCATTAACATAAGTGGTTTGGTTGTCTTGAGTGGATACTGATAACGAATAGGTTGTTTTCATTAGGAAACATCTGCAAAGTTTTCCAGCAGAGTTCATCATTTTTGACTGTGTAGAGGGGGAGAAACCAAATATTTTTCCAAGGAAAAAACAATTTAAAAAATAAAATTATAGCTTAAAGCGTACAATTTAGCCTAGCCTTTTGGTCTAAAAATGAAAATGTACACGTGGATGGGATATTTTATCTCCTTAGTTCTTTTCACAGTGATATTAGGTAGGATATATTAGGGAAAATAATACATGTATTAGCTTTGGTATTATTAATCCCTTGTTGGTAGTGTTTTTCAACCTATGTATACCTAATACTACTCTTATACATAGCAATGCCATAATTTTAAATACATGAATAAGCATGTACAAAGACAAAACTGCCCTTTCAAGCGATCCCCAAAGATGCATATTGCAGGGGTTGTATTACTTATCCATTGCACTCTCTGGATGTTATTCTTTCATTGCATTTCCAAGAAAAAGTATTTTTTTTATCCTAAAATAAGCACCAAAACTAGCCTTAATCTTGCACACAAGCTGGGTGCCTATTTTCATAGGCCAAGAGTGCAATTTATATTATGGCCTACTCAACACAGTCCCAGGTGTAATTCCGAGAAGCAAGAAAGCTGAACTTCATTCTATCAAGATAGTTGCTAACTCCCCAATACTCCATAGAAATGGTTCAAGTATACTGTTATTCAAATAGATAAGAGATTTTCCTAAAGATCAAATGCAGGAAGGCTACATAAACTTATGCTAGTCAACTGCTATAATGTCTCAACATAAAAACCAGCTGACACATGGAGAAATGGAAAAGGATGCGTCCCAATTGACAGCATCATGATCTTTTACGATTCAAGTGTGTCCGCTTGTATTCAGATTCGGTAGCAGCATATCACATCTTCTAATAGTAAGGCATGAACCGCGTAGCCCTCCTGAACCTTGGAACTTTCCTGTAGCATACAAAACAATATACATGTGATTCATCCACTCGGAACTGTCAAAGCCTGAGATAATCAACTGAATCAAACACTCACCCGAATCCATAAGGGGAGTAGAAATAAGGAGGTGTATAAGGCCTTCTGAATCCGTAAGCCATATAAGGATTGAAGCGCCTACCACGAAACTGTTTCATCCCTGGAACATTAGTTCTCTTGGGCATAACCTGTAATATGATGGAGAATCACAAGCGGACGTAAAGCGTTGAATTTTTAAATATTAAACTGTACGAGCTGATTGATTATCTGACTTTTGGTTGTAAAATAAGAAAGGCATGTTCACCTCCGTAAAAGTTATAATTTGGTTGCAAAAACAGAACTAAATTTTTTTATAAAAGGGACTCGGGAGTTTGGTTGTCTGATTGAACAACAATCATATCCTCCATTTAAGTTATCCCTTCCACAATCATATTCTCAATCCATGTATGCAACACTACAATCCCCATATATGCTGCTCGGTGAACCATATATCATTTTATATGTTAAAGTCTGACAAGTGAAAAGATCAGCAAGACAGAACAATAAGATGATAGATTTTCTATGTATATAAGGTAGTCGTATGTCCTTCCTTTCCATAACAATAGTAGTAGTAGTGGTAGTGTTTTTGCATTCTCTTATTCTTGGATTTATAGTAATATCTATTGTTTCTTTTGCTTCAGCTATCGCACTATCTTCCTGCTGTGCTGCTTCTTTTCCTTTCCATGCTTTTTTTCGAGCCGAGGGTATATCAGAAACAACCACTCTACCTTCAAAAGGTCTGCGTACACACTATCCTCCCCAAACCCCATAAGTGGGATTACACCGGGTTTTTTGTTGTTATATAAAAGATGCAACATCATAATAAGCTTGATACTTCTGAATTGTCACAGCCCATTCAATATATCCCACATCCTATTTTGCAGTGAGCCTTCTTGTTTCTATATCTTTCTCCTACCAGAAATGTGGCTGGTTGATGGAGAGCAACAATTTTATTCAAATAAAAGATCGGAAAAAAATTTACCTTCAACTGGCGTCCATGCAGTTCGGACTCATTCAGCTGAAGTGCCTCCTGAATAGCTTCTTGTTCAACGAATTCAACATATGCAAAACCTTTAGGTTGACCAAACTTATCAGTTAGAATAGTAACTCGATTCACAGTGCCACATCCCTGGAAATGCTGCTGAACTTCCTCCGGGGTACATGCATAATCAACCTGTCACATGAAATTCATTAAACACGAGCTGGTAATTGCAAGTGACAATGAAATAGGGGATTTGACACTTCACAGAGCTAAATTTCTTATTTGCACTTCTAAGCATTTGGAAGTTACATGTTATTTGCAAATAATGAAATATTTATTTTATACTTATATCAATTATTGCAACTACAACTTGAATGGAGAATTTGAAGTTTAAAAACTGGTAGAGCATTTCAATTAAGATAATTTTTTTTTCTTTTTTTCCAAGATTAAAATAATGGCTCTTAAAAAATTTCAAACTTTTTCCATATTATAGTATAACACATCCGGGTATCAGCATATAAAGGAAGAGAAACTATTTTGGACCCAACACCTCCCAAATGCTAATCGAAAAATAATCCCAGTACAGTACACTTATTTTTGCTGGCTTTACTTATGCTTGATGCCAAAAGAGAAAATTTCAACTTACGTTGCAGTAAAATCAAATGTCACCACTATAAATGAGTCCAATGCCCTAAAAGGATTTAACTAGCTAGATGGTTTCAAGAAACACTTTCATCAGCCAATTACAAGTCCAGAGATGTTTATTTCTCTTTCGCCCAACTTTAGAGGGGGTTAAAATGTTTGACCATCTTCCTTTACATCTTAACGACTTAACCAAACAAGACATACATCTCATCCCTCATTCTTTCATCCCTAGAGACATATTGTAGGTACAATGGCAACTGCTGCCACATCACCATACAAGCACACGATAGAACAGATCAGATGGTTCAGTATAATAATTTGGGTCGTCATAGAAGAAATATGAGATAAGGCCAAAGGCAAAGAGTAATGACACCTCACCGCATCAGGCTTAAATAGCTAGTCATATCTGAATACCCACGTCCACCAGCTGCCTGCAGCAACCAGACTCGGCAACTAGAATTTGCATGACAGTGACAATGGCTTTGCGCTTTATATAGGCAAGTGTACGTTTCTTCTTGCAAGAAGGTAGAAACTTGAACCTAAGGTGAAAATACTTTTAACAAAGAAATGACTTTTGCGGTTCCAACAATAACCCCACGTCCCCAAATACTCTTTTCCATTCTCTCATACTTTTTCTTTGCCTCTCACCTCCAAAATTGTATTTCAATTTCATCTTTTTTTCCAGTGGGGCTTCACTATATTTTTTTTCTCATGCTTTTTTATCTTCTTTTAAGCTTTATTTTTCTTTTTTTTTCTCTCTTCTTTTTTGCTTCCTTTCTTTTTCCAAACTTTTTACAAGTCAACATACAGGTAAAGTGCCTCTTAAAAGAAATATTTAAAATCAGAACAACTCTCTTCCACCATCAAAAAATATGGTGCCAGCGCTATGCAGAAAATGCACCTGCGATTATAGTGACAGAAAGTCAAAGCATGACTCTCAAGATGCATCCAAGTCAAACCAAATGAAGAGATCATCAAGAAGAAGAAACATTCCTAATAACTACAAGAAGTAAAGTGACAATGACACCAAGAAGTTAGGACATTGCAAGAGAAGAAACAAAAGAAAATGATGCAAAATTCAGGTTAAGATGAAGTTCCATCATCTCGAGCATAATGGCTAAACACCATATGTAACAAAAAGAAGCGAAGTTGTTGAACCATCATAACCAACTCCGCAAACAAGATCACACTGCACAAACATTTAACTGTTCATGTTCTAATACCAGACATCAATAATGAGATAGGTCAAGACGCTGCAACTCTCTAGAGCCAAGACACATGAATTAGGACCAAAAAATGCTTCCAATGCTTACAGGAAATGATATACATTACTTCTTTCATATCCAGACATGAAAGAAAAATATGCCTGCGGTGCCTCAAGAAGTACTAACAACTTTAGTAAAAAACAGAAATTGTCCCCGGCTACAATGGAACCAGAACAAACTTTGTACAAAAGCTAGACCCCTAATCAGGATTTCAAGTATATAATTTTACCACCGGATACCAGTTCAGAATCCCCAAACTAAAACAGACTAATACAAGTCCACAAAACCCTTGGTGACAGCTTGTAATAATGAATCAAAATCATCATTTATTCTTCCAAATAGTAACTGAAAGGCACTCATGGGGTCAAAAAGACATGATGATCCCAAGTAGGTTATATCACAAAGGATTTCACCTTAAGAGTTCAAATCTCATATTTGGCTCATATTATTTGAGCTTATACATTACAATACTCAATTGTTCATCATAAAGCCAGTGCTCCTGACAAATGTTCAATTCTGAAACAAATATACAACTGTATAGTACTTCCCCCAACCCATAATAGACACTCGGTTAGTCTAGCTCCAAAACTCAGAGAAAATTCATGACTAGATCATTGTACTAGAGTCACATGGAAATGTGTCTGATTGATAGTTTCAAACAAAAGAGAGCAGCTAGTTGAAATATGCCATAGCATGATAAAAAGCAGTGTTGTTTTAATTTTAACTTGGAGAAGGAAGATTGTGATATTGTCAAGACTTTATGTTGAGCACTCCAAAATGACAATCATCTTCGTTGGTATATACTAGTACTTCTTTTCAGAAAAAGTAAAAGTATTCAAAAACAGTTAGACCAGATCCAACAAAATGCTGATACATGTATGCCAAAGAGACACCAGAGTCATAATATAGGCGTATGCAATACAAATATGCACTTGCTGACCAAACTGAAACGTGCACTGCATAAACAAACTCATTTTGCATGCAAATACATATCTTAAACAGCGGCACTATCAAATGTACAACAACATTACTATGTCTCAATACAAACAGGTGGTGTCTGCTATATGAATCTCTATAAGTTTCTCTTGATTTGGGCATGCTTCATTCCATCATTTCAAACAGTTAAACACATGTCTGAATAAGTATGTCACAATGTATCCAATATTCTGAGGATTCACCAATTAACTCATTGCAATCTGGCTATCAGCCTACCACAAACATCCGTTATTGGGGCTTGGAATCAGTAATATGGGCAAGCTCACAAACGCGAAGTTTAGGATTATCAAATATAAGCAATAAAATTAGCTCCAATGGAAAATCAAACATATGGCCCAACCACACACAACAAGTTTTTATCTGAAAACATCCTTGATCCTTCGATCAAGTAGAGCTTCTCCAAGAATGCAATCACCAATAAGAAATTAAAGATGTCAGGTTCTTACATTGCCAACAAATATTGATCTTGAATCCACTTCCTCACGGCTTGCCTGAGAAGCAGCTGCACTAGCTGGATCTGCATAACAAATGGTTCGACAAATGATTAATCCATGTAAAAGAGAAATTGAGAAAAGAAACAAACAATACAATAATAATAATAATACAATAATAATAAGGAAACAAATAGAAAATTGAATTCCAGTTTATAAGTTACTGAAAATTTTAAGTTTAATCTTTGTGATAGCCGACTAATCACATTGCAATTCGTAGAAAATGCTTTTGGTCCCACTGACAATTCCTGCAATTGATTTTCATTCGTTAAACCACGTCATTACTCATATTTTAGGCTAAGAGGAAGTCACTTTGATACTTTACTCTTTTTCAAATCGAAAATTGTTTAAATTAGTGGATATTTGATCAGCTGAGTAGAAAAAGACAGTTAATGCACAATCGAGAACTAGAGAAAACAGATAAGAAGCAAAAAGAGGAATTTAAGCGAAAAACTCAAATGAGAAGTGAGCCCATACAATTATTACTGTTTTGGTCCTATCATAAGTCACACTTCCCAGGATTCATGCTTTCTTCAACCTTTATGCCTTCGTTCTTTATAGTCAATAATAATCTTTGTTTGTTACTCCAAAGAGAGCAAAACAACAATTAGGCTTCAACCCCAAACTACTTGGGATTGGTTTTGGCTATATGAATCCTCTATATCAATTCCACTCAATATGGGTCCGTGTGATTCCACTAGGCTACTCCAGAAAGGAGATAAAAAATAAAAATCTCTCACCCTCTCTCTTTGTCCATGTTCATAGAGCAGAATAGGAGATTTGATTAGGTCAACTAAGAGGAGCTGAAAAAATTACAGCAATCGATAAACTTGTCTGCACTAAAAACTGGATCTTTTGTTTCCAACGATATGCTGAAATTCATCAATGTCTCAGGTAATATTTTAATCAGTTATTATAGCAAACTCTATGCGAAATACAGTATCCTTTCAGTAGTCCCAAAATAAAGGCGTGCGTGCAGCAGGCATTCTTTTTAGGGGTTTAACACATAAAAAAGCATCCTTATTTAGATCCAATAATCCAAAGATCACAATTTTCTTTTGATTGGTCCAAAGATTAAATAAATACGGAAATTGTCGGAACATCTAAACATACATCCATTAAAAGCAACAGATCAAACATAAATCAAGGATAAAAAAAGAGACCTTGAACAGAACCCATTTCTTTTTCAACTTTGGCTTGCATCTCACGGAGAGCAACAGCTTCATCTTCCATCTCCTTTAATCGTTTCTTCATCTCATCCAATTCCTTCAAATTTCAAAAGAATTAGATCCAATGCTAATTAGGTTTTTTTTTTATAAACAAAACATAACAAGAAAAAGAGAAAGATAAGGTGGTATCTACCTTAACGGCGTCATCATCGGCGGCACCGCCGTGATGCTCCATGTCAGCTTCCATTTCAGCTTCCATTGGGATTTCTCCTCCGTACACTTCGTGCTCTTCTTCCTCCATCTCTCTCGCCGCCACTCCTTTTTCTCTCTTTTCCTTCCCTAATAGGAGTGTGCTACCACTATACCCGAACAAGTATTGTATGGAACGCTGTCGTTTTTATACTTGTCTGCCCAAGTCCTGAACCGAACCTATGAATTCTGATACGATCCGTTTGGACATAGAATTCTTTTACTTTGATTTTTACCTTCCTATACCACATATGAAACCTTATTACCCTCAATGTTTAAAGTTTGAGTTAATTACATTTCAGCATACCAAATTACCATTTTTATACCATAATTCAAATTAGGAATATAATTAAGGGTTCATTTATATTAGGCATAATTATAGGACTGTATCTTCCCACTTTCTCTTTCCTTTCGTCTCTTTCCTTGCAAAGATCAAAGAAGAGAACGTCGAGTAGAGACTTCAGTGTGTGCGACTCCCAGTGAGAGAGAAACAAGAGGATGTTAGGAAAAGAAGAATCGAACACGGTGTTGACGTTGCTCAAAGCCGGGGATCATCGGCCCTTCGATCAGATCGTCGCCGACTTTGCCTCCAACTTCCCTCCCCCTCGCCAATTTTCTGCTTGCATCTCTCTCGCCTTAATCCTTGACGTAAATCTCCCTCGCCAATAATCTTCAAACTATCTACATTGTGTGAAGACTCAATGTAGTTATTGTATATAAATTTTGTAGCTTTTTATCATAATTTTTAGATGTTTACCTCCAAGTTCTATGTAATATTTGTATATAACTGTCAGTTGAATATAAATTACACAACAAAAAATAAGAAATAAATACTCCAATCGTAGAAATGTGTTATCCACAATTAATCTGCAAATTGTCTACATTATAACTACAATCTGGAAACAATTTACACATGGAAGTTCTTCAAGTTGGAATTGGCCACAACTACATTTCTTGTTTTCTAGACACACAATGTACCGCTTCACACCATCCAACACAGTATGTATATGATCTGTTGAAGCCCTCACCTACATTTTCAGAACAAACACAAAGAAAAAAAATTACAATATTAAAAATATAGTATCTACAATATATCTACATTTTATCTATAAATTAACTACAAACTACAAGTAAACTACAATTTGCCTACAATTTATCTACAATCTGGAGACACTGTATATTAAAATATTTTTTTCCTGCACCAAAAAAAGAACTTGTAGTCAAATTGTAGATATATGTAGTAAATTTGTAGATAATATCATAAAACTAAAATTCTAAGCATTTTCGAACTACACAAACCTGCATTCTCATCTACCACAACGGCATCAACTTCAAAATCTCTAAATCTGCCATAGTTATCCCAATTCCCATTCAATTTTAGCATTATTGGGATTTTTGACATGATTTCGTGTAGTTGAGAGAAAAAAGATGAAGAACATATATAGGTTCGACAATTTGAGTACTGAGGACGATGAAGAACAATTTTGAATTCTACAATTTGTATTGCGTTGTTGAAGCTTCTGAAGCTCTGCGTTGTTTTTGAATTGTAGTGAAAGAGAGAATTACGCAGCAATCAGATCTCTTTCCGTTTCAAATTTCGAATTTAATGGGGAAAGAATCAAACTCACATTTTGTGCCTTTTTTTTCGCGCGTTTTAAATGGCAGAATCTGCCTAATTATGAATTGGTATATAAATTGTAGTTAAAGTGTGGACTGGGCGGGTAATTAACAAATTATGCACATTTTTGGTAATAAGGTTTCATATATGGTATAGTTAGGAAAAAATCCCTTTACTTGATTTTTACCTTCCTATACCACATATGAAACCTTATTACCCTTAATGTTTAAGGTTTGAGTTAATTTTTGAATTGTAGTGAAAGAGAGAATTACGCAGCAATCAGATTTCTTTCCGTTTCAAATTTCGAATTTAATGGGGAAAGAATCAAACGCAGATTTTGTGCCTTTTTTTCGCGCGTTTTAAATGGCAGAATATGCCTAATTATGGATTGGTATATAAATTGTAGTTAAAGCGTGGACTGGACGGGTAATTAACAAATTATGCACATTTTTGGTAATAAGGTTTCATATATGGTATAGTTAGGAAAAAATCCCTAAAAATATACTACTATATACATTATTTATTTATGGAATTTAATTAATTTTTTTGAACAAAAATTTTTAGGTTCTAATAGATTTTTTTTCTTACACTCACAAAATTTCAACTCTTTTTAAATAAAATGCATGTCCAAATATAACTTCAACTTCTAAAAATAATTTTTCAACATAATTTAAAAATTATTTTTTTCAAATTTCAACTATACTAAAAATTATTAGGTTAATGTGACGGTTACTTTTTTATTTATTGTGACAGTTACTCGTATTTATATTTACTAATCTTAGGGTACACGCTTTGCGCGTGTATCCCGTATCAATAATATAAACTTTTAAAAATTATATAAATATTATACGTATAATTGACGTACAATTGTTAAGTGTCATGTTGAAATTTTCCCTAGAACTTGATGTTGAATTAATGGTTATAATAATCATAAATATTGAAATAATTTGTATCAAATTATAGTGTTTTTAGAATGTGTATTTGTATTTTAATAAATAATATTTTGTAGAATGCCAAAACCAAAACTATATAGCTTGAGTTTTATTTTTATATACTTTTGTTGATATGAAGCCCTTCACTGTTTTAATATAGTTACCTTTTTCATCCTACACCTAAGAGCTTGTTTGGATGGTTGTTACCTATTGTATTGTATCGTATTGTTACTTTAAATACGATGTTTGTTTTGGTTGTTATTTAAATTTTATTGTAGAGTATCTTTAAATCCGTCGTTACGTAACGAGAAATTTAATGTAACGACCGATTTTGTGTGGTTGCGTCGTTATCTTGTCTTTTCCTCTCATCTCACCCTTTATTTATTATTAAATAATTTTATTTTATTATTTACCCTACCTTTTTATATGATAAATTTATCGCATATCATAGTTTTTCTTTATAATATTGCAAGTTTATTCTTCATATTGCTGATGTGTGATACCATGAAACAACAGCAAACGATACAATCTATCAAAACATTGCATTCATCAAACGATACAGTACAATACAATACAATACGATACATAATGAAACGATGTGTAACAACCATCCAAACAAGCTGTAAAACTAAATAGAGCTAAAACTGAAAGTGACGAAAATTTCATTTACAAAATGAAAAAAATTCCTAAATCTAAAAACAGTATAAAGTGGTCGAAATTTCCCTAATATAAATTGAAAATACTTGAAATTTAGTACTCGTCAATTTAAATGGAGCTGAAAATAAGGACTTCTAAAACTAAAAGGAGTTGAAAAATCAAAGTTTTAGAAAGTAGGAAAATAATTATATGACTAATCCTAAATATTAGGGAATTAATTTAAATAATTTCTAAATATTTGATAAATAACTAAATGACTATTTTATCCAGTATGAACTATATTTTTAAAGGGTAAAAAAGACGAATAGTATTTCGCTAAGGGCCTTCGTGCTTTTAATATAGTATTGATTGATAGATAAAAGTATAAAATAGAAAGTAGCAACAATGTGTTGTTTTAATGTTTTATGAGAAGAAAATCAACTAGGGAATTCAGCAATATATGAGTTGAAGTGGAAGTAATGTATTATAAAATTTTAAAAAAAATGTAGACAGTGAAATTGTGTTTGGACATAAACTAGGGTGGAATTTTTAACTCATATAATTGTGATCAATGATCAATCTAATCTAAATTTTGGGTGAAAATGTGACGACTTCAAGTCCTTGAATGAAATTACTAATAAAGAATATAAGTTTTTACACATTATTTATCCTTTAACAAGTGAAAAGTTGATAAACTGTATTTACATACACCATTTAGAAGATTTTCTCTACCCAAAATTAACTTTTTCATAGACTTTTATTCAACAAATGATACTGTATAGTAATTGTACAAATATAGCCGGAAAAATATATAAAATTTATATTTTTTTATATATGTATACATTCTGTATGTTATATAAAAAAATTATACATATTTTATACACTTTTTTAACTACCTGATATAAATAATTTCTTGCGCGGGCTAAAAGTGATAATACCCATTTTTATTTAAGAAATAATTGGATTAGCCCATGGGCCAGCCCGCAGCCCGCTTAGTGTAACACTTACAATTTGAAGGATTGAGTGGGTTGGGTTGTTGATTTTTCCACGAGAAAATTTTAGGTAAAAATTGCACGGGGCGCTCTATTTGGTCGCCGCCATTTAACCTATACCCATTTTTTTTTAAAAGTTTTAACGTGTACCCACTTTTTAAACAACTTCAACCCCCTTTCTCCTCCTTCTTCTCCTCTTTCGTTTTCTTCTTCTTTCTTCTGCTGCTGTTGGTGCTGCTATGAAACTTCAGTTCATGGGATGATTGCCATAAGTATGTTTATCAGATTATTTAAAAACAAATTATAAATAATTACGTAAGTTAGTAGACAATAATTTGTGAATATTTCCACGTAATTCTGTTCTTTTCACGTTTATTGTTTCCAAAATTTATGATTTAGATATTGTTGGCAATCTGATTATTTTATAGTAGTAATACACTATGAAAGAATAAGGTGATTATTTATCTAGTATGTTAGAAAGCTTTTTCAAAAACTTCAGCTTATATAGTGCTGAAGTTTTTACAAATGAACTAAATAACTTCAGCATCTTCTACTGAAATTTTTGAAAAAGCTTTATGACAAAACTAATGAATCCAGGACAAAAAAACTTCAGCTTATATAGTGCTGAAGTTTTTACAAATGAATTAAATAACTTCAGCATCTTCTGCTGAAGTTTTTTGAAAAAGCTTATCCAGGACAAAAAAAACTTCAGCTTATTTAGTGCTAAAGTTTTTACAAATGAACTAAATAACTTCAGCATCTTTTGCTGAAGTTTTTGAAAAAGCTTATCCAGGACAAAAGAACTTCAGCTATTTTAGTGCTGAAGTTTTTACAAATGAACTAAATAACTTTAGCATCTTCTGCTGAAGTTTTTGAAAAAGTTTTTAATGACAAAACTAATGAATCCAGGACAAAAAAACTTTAGCTATTTTAGTGATGAAGTTTTTACAAATGAA